TTTTTGTTGAAAAAAAAGGTTTTTGTGGGTAAGGTGTTTATTTTGATTTTTGGGGAGGTGGTGGGGTTGTATGGGTTAATGGTGGGGTTGATTTTGAATATTAAGATTTGGAGGTAGGGGGGTTTGGGGGGGGGGGATTGTATGATAGTGGGTTATGGTGTGTTTGGGGGGAAGGGGGGTAATGGGGATATACAATTCAGGTTACTTTTCTCTGGTTCTTTATCTTGTTATCGGGATTTCACCTCCTTGCTTCTGGTTATTTCTTACCTGCTGGAATTGACAGAATTCTGCGAAAGAGTCGTTCAAAATCTCAGGATATTCAGAATGGACAATTTCCTAGTGAACTTTGGTGAAAGCCCTAGCACTCCAATTCATCGCCCATACCACAAGCACAAAAATTCCTGGATGCGATATGATACAATCCACACACCAACTAAACGACTTCACTTTTCGCAAAAAGGAAAAAGAGAAATGAGTGAGAGAAAATTATTAGGTATCATAACATGAGTACAGCGGCCAGAAATTTTTAAAAGAAAAGAAAGTCTTTGGAAAAAAAAAAAAAAAATTTAAACCCTCCGAAACCCTAGCTAGCTGGACCGCAATAATCTATTATGTACTATCGGTACGATAATCGGACTATTATCCACCCCACACTTCTCTATACCGAGTGAGAATGTATGCACAGGCAAGTGTGGACCGTCGACCATCGACTGGGGGATTGGGTTGGATTGTGTCAGACGTGGTAATGGAAATGGCAATGACCATGGTGGTAGAGGTCGTGCGAGCGTCGTATCGATAATGGGGTAAATAAGAAGGAAATGGGTATAGGGTGTGGGAGGGCTTGTATCGTACAGTACGGTTATGGAGGGTGGAAGTGGGAGGGAGTGGCGAGGGGCAAAAGTTCAAGAGGTGGGATGAGGGGGGAAGGGAGAGGGGGGAGACTAGCTGCCATCAACTTTGTTTTCGTACAGGGCCGGGTGGGGTAGTTGGCTGATGGCTGGAGAGACCAAGCGTGGACTATACCGGATTGTAGTGATGTAAAGGTATCAAGTAAGAAGTGACAAGAAGTAGAAGGGGTTGAAGGATCAACAAGATCGAACGTAGGAAAGGGACGAAAATGCTTTAGAAATAATAATAGGAGAAAACGACGCCCGCAATGAAAAAGACGAGAATAAAAAAGTACCAGATCAATCACCCATATACACAACCTCCTAGAAGAACAAAAGGCTAGACAACGTTCCACTCCGCATAGACGCACCACCGAGCACTCCTGTCCGCTAGCACCAACGCCCTCCAAGACCCACGCTCGCCACACTTAATAATGGTCTCCCAGACCATGCCGTTTTCCGAACCCATCGAGTCTGGCTTCTTCATTAGCCGGAGGATTTTCCCGCTAGGCGTTTGGATCGCTAGCTTTGCCGGTTTTGGTGCGTTTCCCGAAACACTGGAGGGGGAGGAGTTGGGAGGGCCATCGCTGGGGTGTTGACGGACGGCGAAAACGAAGGTGTTGTTCACGGCCAACTTTGAGCACTGCGGCTGGGAGATGTATAAATCGTGGCGCTGGGCGTGCGGGGTTGGATGTCGGACGAGGAATTCATAGGGGGGGTTTTCGCCTGTGTGGGTTATGGGCAAGGCGAGGGCTAGGGGGTGGGGGTTGTCTTTTATTGAGAGCTGTTGAGGTATAGTCAGTTTACGATGCTGAAGAGAGGAGATGGGGAAGGGGGGGGCTTACTATCAACCTGCGTTTCCCGGCATATATTTTCAACACGCCTTGTCCTTCATCGCCGGGTAGCACTGCCTTCACTCTATACGTCTTAACCCTATTCTCCCATGCAACTTGACATAACGCCCGCTTCTTCACCACGTCTCCGGTGTCGTAGATATCGCCGTCCTGGTCGGTTGCAAACCCCCTTACTTCAACCTCCGCAAAGCACTCTATATCAGCAGGAACACTAAACTCGACTTGCGCAACCTCTAAATCTTCGATTCTAGTAAGGCTGGTGTCAAAGTTGATCATCTGGAGGCCGTGTTTGAAGAACGGCGGACACGCGCATGGGAGCGCCAGCAAGTATGGCATGGGGAGAGCTGGGACAATGTGCTGCTGCTCCATCATTATGGGAATATGCGTCCAGCAGAATTGGCTCGGCTTGGTCAGGAACCAGAAGAAGTCTGCTTGTCCGAGTGGTGATGATGAGTACATTACTCGTCTTGGATGCGTCGGAGAGGCGAGGGAGCAATCCATGAATCGCCATTCCCCGTCCACTACTACTGCATTCCACCAATGATTGGGTCGTGGGCACATGTCCACGTCCAGGACTTCTCCGGGCGCTTTTAGATATCCTCTGATTGTCTCGCATGAAATCCCCACTGCGTTGCACATTCCGAGAACCACTGCGGCAACTTCCTCCGGGCTTCCTCTTTTCTGGGCTATTACTAGCCCTGTATCCAGCTCATCACCCATCTCCCCGTTCAGTGGCCCACTAGGGTGCTCCCAAGCTATTTTCTCCGAAACCCAAGTGAATATAGCGCGCAATCGTTGAACATCGCTCCGGTATGGGCGACAGACGTGATGATTTGCTAGGCTCTCAGGTGTTGTAAAAGGTGGTGTGTTCCCAATGAACCTGGCAGACTTGTCTACTAGACTTAAATTGGCGGCATCAAAGTCAGCTGGTCGTTGCACGATTCCACCGTCTGCTGCTTCATCACCGTCCACATCGTCGTCCAGGGCATCCACAGGCCGAAGCACTACTTGATCCATCAATTGTTGCTTTTCTTGTCGCTCTATCCGTTCGTTTCTGGAGAACGTGTTTGATCGATTAACGTCCCTTCTGACCTGTACCCAATCTTGACTCTGTTGCTGCGCAACAGCCTTGCCGCTAGCAATTGAATTTATCCCATCGGGTATTGTTTTAGGGGTTGAAAATGAAGTTGGCGAGTTTGCAATGCTTCTAGCGGATGCTGTACTTGTTTTAGCACTGTTTAATATTTTCTTGAGGAATCCTGTCTTCTTCGGTTTAGGAGCTGTGAGTCCTCCAAATACGCCAGCACCACCGCCGGATGGGGCTGCTTCTGAGGCGGCCCAAGTTTGACCTCTTCGTAACACATTAGGCACCCCGCCGTTTGCCGACCTTATCCCCGGGCTTGGAGAAGGGGCTTCCGTTCTCCCAAAGTTACTAAGGCTGAATCGCTGCCCATGCCCTTCAATCACACTCATTGCCTTCAACTTTCGCCTTGCCAAACTGCCCGCACTAGTCGCTGAAAACCCACCAGCGCTGATACCGCTCATTATGCTCGTGCTGGTTGCAGCTGTCGAAGTAGTTGTATTTGTACTTGATGATTGGTGTGATGTGGTGGTCGATTTGATTGTCGTGTTTCTCGAAAGTGGCCTTGGACGGACTAGTTTCGTTGGACTTGGGCTCTTGCGACCCACATCATACATATATTTCCTATTCTGGGTTGAGGCGTCGCCAGTCCGTGGTCGGATTGTATCAGTGTATGTAGGGTTTTTTGGCGGAGGAACTGGTGGCATATCGTCATCGTCTGCGCCATATCGATCCGAAGACTGGAATCGCCGTGTCCGGTCTTCCACTCGCGACGCAGGTCGACGGGGCTTATCCGGGTATGGCATCCCCCCCCTTTCCCCATTCCTATCGTCGCCAAGATAGCCATTTCGATCACCAATGCCCAATGACGTTTCAGGTCTTATGTAACTCCTTCTAGGGGAAGGATGGAATTGGTCGGCAAAGGCTTTAGGAGACCAAGGGTCGTGGTGGGGGGTTCGTGGTCGCTCATCGTGGCTTGCCATATGTTCCAAACTCTCCATAACATCCTCCATAGCAGTGCGTAGTGGACTTGGGGTATTCCCCAGAAGACCAGGTGAATGGGCGCGGTCGGCGGCGGGTGTCCGGCGTCCATCCTGAGGTGGTGAGGGAGAGTTGGCGCGCTGATATCGGTGAGGAGGAGGTGCTGGTGGAGGGACATCATCCTGTACGCGATCGTGTCCTATATACGGGTTAGGAGAGGCAGCACGTTGGTGGCTTGTGGGAGGCGCTCGAGAGTTGTAACTCCCGGGCGCTGGAGAGACTGCTCTATATGGATTGGGGGAGGCAGCCCTTTGATACGGATTCGGTGATGGGGCTCTCGAATGTCGTTGATATGGATCGGGGGAAACGGCCCTGTAGGGATTGGGGGACGCTGCTCTCGTATAAGGATTAGGGGATGCTGCTCGAGAGTAACATTGTTGATGTTGGCATGGATTCGGGGAAGGCGATCGGCCACGATCTAGGTACTGGTGTACGGGAGGTTGTGGTGAGGCCGCTCGGGAATACACACTAGGAGCAGGAGATACGGCGCGAGAGATGCTTCCATCGTGGGGCGCCGGGCTAGAAGCACCATTCCTTGAAACCGGCCGTGATGGTGGAATAGGGTGGTCGAGGACTTCGACAAAGTTCGAGGGGAATAGTCCAACCTGTTTATTGCGCCTTAAACGTCCCATCCACCATTGCCCATCACCAGCGTTAAGGCATTCGATCAGATCACCTTCCACGAAACCTAGATCCCGTTTGGTCTATCAAACGTCAGCGCTGAAAAGGGTTAAAGCGCTATAACCAAATGAAATACCTCTCCACCCCAAGAATAAATGGCTTTGCAAAGGCAAGGAAACCTATTTGGCAAAGGCGGACCTTCGCCGGGCATGGTTGTATTATTGTGTATACAATAGTCGCAAAAGGCGGACGGGATGATGTCGGTGTTGAATGTTTCGAAGGGACAGAAGCCAGCGGCGGAGGCGGGGAATTGTAGACAAATAAGGGATAAAAAAAGAGTGGAGTAGTAATTGGGGAAGAGATTAAAAAAGATCGTGGGGATTATAATTATTGTATATATGTTTGTGGGGGGGAAACAACAAACTGCAAAAGAGTTAAGAAGGATATGGCAAGAGCCGTTGGTAGTGGGTTAAGAGGGGGGAGGTCCCGTTCCGTGGGTGGGAGGGACAATGGATGGTTAGGGTTGATTTGGGCTTTGGCCAACCAACCAGAGGATGTGGCGAAAGGGGAGCTTTTTTGGAGGAGGTAAACAGAGGTTGCATCACCGGAGAGGGAGGTGGTTGCCATGGCAGCGATTGTATAATTTTTTCCCTACTGCATTAGTTGTGCAAGTCCTGCGCCCAGAAATGCGTTGCTGTGGTCGTTTGTCTTGGCCTTCACCACTTTGGGGACTTCTCCCCCTTCCAGAGGTCGAGAAGCCTTTCATTCAGCAGCATGCTTCCCGGTACTTGTACTCGTAGACTACTCGAGTACTCGTGCTGTACCCCGCCTGATAAGGTGAGGTGTGATCCAACATGGAGCACTAACCAGACCTCCCATCGTTCGCCCGGCCCCTGAACTCCAGTCCCCTCGCTTGAGTACATACTCGAGTACAGCCGGCACACAAGGACTGTAAATCATGCGGACCGTATGCATAATTGGCACTGTCAAATATTTGCCTCTTGTCCGCTGTATGGGACCGGTAGTCGAGTAGACTTCCACTGATAAGAGTGTGTGCCCTTGGCCTGCCTCGAAGTTAGTACCGAGCCCTGTTGTCCCTGATAATTTATGGAGAAGTAAATGATGGGTGCGATACCAAATTACCGGTATGATAAGCTCGCTCCCAGTAAAACCGATGCGGTACGGCTGTATATTCCTCGCCATGCAAACATTTCCTCATCACTTTCTCTTTTCCGGCCCCTTCTCAAGTTCACGAGTGCCTCCTCCTTTGCCTGCATTGTGTTTGAACCTTTCAAAGACCCTCTTATCCGATCCAATGACTTCTCCTCAAGCTGATGGGAACGTTGCCTTCTTTTATGGTTCTTGCTCCCTACCAACCTAATTTCCCAAATTCCCCCACTAACTTCTTCTCTACCGTTCTTCAGGCACTCTCATGGCTACCCCGGTTCTCTACAGGGTAATTTATGGTACATTGACTCCTGAATCCTGGCAAAATGGCTCCCTTCGTGTTCGCCCGGCCCTCTTGCCTTTCTACTGTCGTTATCATGTGAAAGATGTCGACTATCCTGGGATTGTCCCAGAGGCTGGAAAGTCGGTTCACGGAACATGTGTTGAAGGTCTCACAAGAATGGATATCTGGCGCCTCGACACCTTTGAGGGAACACAGTATACTAGAAAGATTGTTAGGGTGAAAATTCTGGACAAGAACGGTAAGGAAACGGGCGAGGAAAAAGAGGCAGCAACCTACGAGTGGACAGCTGGAAGAGACAGCTTGGAGGATGAAGAATGGAACTTTCAGCACTTTGTCAAGGAAAAGCTCTCGGCGTGGGCCGACGACGTAGAGGAGTACGAAGGTGAGATCTACCGTATCCTGTCCGGAACGGTTACCGGTTTTTTTTTTTTTTTTACTAACTTTTGATGGCTGTTTAAGAGGTCGATGGGCTCGGTGGGCGTTGTTGGGAAGATGGGTTTCAAGATGATAGAGCTGGGAATACCGGTGATAATGCTACTGCGAGCACCTCCACGGCATAAATTTCGTGATCCAGGGCATCCTAGGTCCCCAGATTTCTAGCGGAATGGAATCGTTGTTAAATTCTGATACATGAAAATGACACTCATAGCAATTAATAATCAGGAGATTCCAGCGTCGCTGGATCCCGGCAGAAATCCATAGGATGAAATTTTGACCTTTCTCGCTCTATTGGAGTTGTTTGCATGAAACCCAAGGTATTCGTTAACAAAATTAACCGACTATGATACAACGAACAGCTAAAAGTTTTTTACGTGCAACAACCCCCCTCACCAACCCCAACATCATAATAACAAAGGGGAGTGGGAAAATGTAAATACATAGAGGATATTAATATTTAGTGTAAGTCACCATCTATCTGCCTTAATAATTGCTTTGATCCTATTCACCATTGAATCTGCTTGAGAATCAAAAATCTTTAGGTCAAGAAACTTCTAATAAGAAGTAATAGCTTCTTCTATAGCTTTCTTGACCTTATTGTTAGAAGGCTTCAAGAGATATAGGTAAGAATAATGCCACTGAAACTTATATTTCACCAGAGCTCAAACATATTAACCTATTGAGTTGGTGTAATGATCCCTCTTCAGATAGTTAGTTCTTGGCGACAAGGAATGATACTTCTCTTCTTCTTCTGCTGTATGATAGCTCTTAGGCCTATGCCTATGTCACTGATAGTACAAGACTGACGTCTTTTATCTGTAACACCTATTGTAAGCTTTCTCTAACTCTACCTCGTGTGGAGTATTCTTCGTTGTAATAGTAATAAAGGTTATGATAATGGTAAAGAGCGTACAGGTATTTGATATTTATTGAAGTAATAAGTAGGAAAAGTACTTAGAATTCAATCTAATTATATTTAAACTTGTACCATGAATACTGGTATACGATGAGTCCCAGCTGGCAAAGGAATACCACTAACTAGTATACCACTAACTTCAAGCTAACTAAGACTATGCCCCTAGCACCTACCATTTCCAAGTCATGGCCACATGGAAACTAATCACAATACCATCAAACAACCCAGTGCTCTCCCCAGTTCAAGTCAGTAGTTCCTCTAGTCTGAAGCCAACCAGTACTAAGTGTAGTGGAAGCTGAACAAAAGACCAATACGACCAGGTTCTTTGTCCAAAAAAGATAAAACTCTACTGCCTGTCTGAAAACCGTCCCACAACCTATATTTACCATAAGAGAAAACGAACCAACAAACTAAACCTACAGGAAATACAATAGCAGGAAGAAGGCAACCAACATGTCCACCTCTCACACTCACATGGCAGGTGGTTGATCCTATGAATCCACTTAGCCAGTTGTCTCTGAAGAGCATAGTGGTTAGGAGGACCTGTACTTGCTAATGGTACTCCAAACAAGTATGACAAACAAATGAAATACATAGAGGTAGTTACAGACCTAAATAGTCAGTGGAGCCTATCTTCCATATATAGTGCTATGCCTCTTTCCACCATACCAGTAGCCAAATTAAAGGAACCAAACAAACTCCATAAAGCCCAGCTTGCAAGGCCCAAACAAGTCTAATCAGGTTGTCGCAACCTACTATCTACAAAGGTGGTCATTATAAAGATCCCCCATCAGATGGTTATGTTTCGGCGACGGGGAATGATACTTCTCTTCTTCTCGCCTTATGAAAGCACCAGGCTGATGGCTATTTTACCGATAGTACAAGACCTTTGTCTTTTATTGGAAATGACAATTGTAAGCTTTCTTTAACTCTTCTTCATGAAGAGCTTTCTTGGCATAATAATAACGAAAGTTATGATAATGATAAAGAGCATAAAGATGTTTTTATTTGTTAAAGTAATAAATAGGAAAAGTGCTTAGAATTCAATCTAATTTTATTTATACTAATACCGCCAATACTGGTATAGGACTAGCCTCCTTCATGCCCCATAAAACAAACTATCTAAAATACACTACTGGGAACTATTCTGCCTTGCAATTGCTCCTCTCAAACATAAATCCAAAAGTTACTACCTATGTAGGCTCAGGGGCGCTTGTAACAACTGGCATTGCCCCAGATTCACGCATCTTTCCACCTCGCTAGCTAACCACCGTCTCATGCCCTCACCCCTATCTGCCTCCAACACAATCTATTCTATATATTCAACAAAGAAAATATACAGTCTATCCCAACATCCCTCCGTCCTCTTATAATGCAACTCAAGGTCCAAGTACCCTCCAGCCAGTACCAAACTATAAAAGGAACAACAGGGTTTTTTCAGTAACTCATTCACCTTAGCCCACCTCAAGACCACTAACGTTTATGTTGCCAGGTTCAATTTATCCTACTGCTAGTGTTGAGAATGCCAGAAACTATCGTGACATATCCGTAAACATCAGGACTGTTTCTTGAGGTGTTCAGTGAAGGTGGTACTCTTTTTGGTGGCTGTAGCAGAAATGGCAGTACCATAACAGGGATACTCATACAGTCATTGGTCAGGCAAAAAGAACCACCTCTTCAGCATTTTTCACCTTACCTGGCAAAACGCAACAACTACCATCATGTTTCTTCTTGTACGGGATGCAAATTGTAGGGTCTTCTACTATCACAGTTCCACTGTCTCTTTCCACCATCAGTGTGCCATTAAAGGGTTTACCTACCGTAACTAGTTCCTCATCCACAACCACCATATGATAAGGAATTCCCAGGTCCAACAACTGATAACCTATCCACCAATATTTTCACATTGAGACTGCCGAATCCTTATATAAGTCTTCATCAGCAGGATGTTCTCTAGGATAGTGGGAGCACTCAGTCCAGTGGTATCTATCTTCTTTTCCATTGCAGCTATCATAGCCGATCATACCTGTCCCACTGCAGATTCTTAAAAAAAGTAAAGAAGTCCATGTTGGTCAGGCTCCAGAGGTGTCGGGGTACCTTGAGTTCATGGGCGTAGTATCCGTGTCTTTCTCTAGTATGCCACATCCTCCATTTCTCCTTCTGGAGCTCTCGAGCCAGCATCACGTAATCGATCCCAAAGCTAACCCCATCCCAAAGCAGGGAGTGTAAGGGACGTCCAATACAGAGCTTAACTTCTAGGTCGACCAACCTGTTGCCGTCAAGAGACCTGTCATGGTATCCATCGCCTTGGTCCTCAGCCCAGC